TCATCAAGGTCATTCACAAATGATCTGATTTGATTGGAAGTACTATTTCAAAGTGACTATAACTCAGGCACGGTAAAAGAAATTATAACAGATGAAGTACATTTGGGACATCAAATCAACACTTTTTTGATGTTTTTACTAAAATTCCAATTCCGAAAAGGGACACGCCAGTTTTAGGTGACTGTTACGTGATATACTGTTTGCCGTTTGTTCATGGACATTTATTACTATTACTATAATTGTTATCTTATTTATTTATTTATTTATTTTTATTTTATCTATACTGCTTTTAAATTTTTTATGTTGTATTTAATCCACAGTATTTTTATATACGCATTTCATTTCTAAATAAAACTGAAATTAATTGCATCGTATAGGCTGCTAGAAAAATCTTGTCTCTTAGACATGTATATGATTTGATTTAGATTTTGTAAAATGCCGAAATTTCTTTACCTGTTTTAAATAAAAAAATATGATTTAATCAATGTTAAAATTCATTTGATAAACATGATAAACGTAATCCACTTTCACCGTTTTCTCTTGTTGTCATTAAATGTTCTAAAATATAGATACTGTACAGAAAGTAGTAACAAACATCAACTAGTATCTAAATTCCATGCTTTCCCTGTAACCGCAGGTATTCTACAACTCTCAACAAGTTCCCACGATTGTCATCTTTAGCTTTGAAGCCATAGGAGACTGTCGTTTTATTTATCTACTTTTATCTATCTTCAGTATCCTTATACACACCAATGCGGTCATTAGAATGTTTATTTTAACGGTGAAAGCATAATTGGGAGTAATTTTCTCAAGTGATCTGCAAACATCTGAGAGAAACGACTGAAAATGAAACATCACTTTGACCAAGATGATTCACTCGACGTCTTTCGTTTTTATCAAACATATTGTTGTACATGTCTTCAAAAAAGTGTTCTGGTGACCCAGAATGTATTTGTCATTCAAAGAAATATATTCAAGTATCATTTCAAAATAGCGAAGGAGATCAAATATTTTTCAAAATGTTAATTTATATTTTTAACGGACTCTTGAAACGTCAATAATTATGTTACAAGTACACCAGGTTTAAACAAACGTGGCAATTTACTTTGATAGTATCTTTGTTTAAGCTTTCAAACGTTTTAATTGACTTTGTGTCTAGTTCATCTTTGTGTAAAATTTTATCTACAGAAAACAGAAGTTTAAACATTGGATACATAATCAGAGCATTTTAATAAAAAACATACGATAACAATTTTCTGATTTACAGTTCATTGTCAAAGTATATGTGACGCAAACATAGAAAATAAATGTCTACATACAGGCACACAAGAATGAAATTTATGTTTTAAAATCCATTATAATATCTATATCTTGCATCAAATAAAAAGTGAAATTCCAAAATGCACCGAAGCAATGAAAAAAATTCAGATTAAAAATAATCGGGGAAATTTTTTAAATCTTTGGTCATTTACTTGCCCCATACTTTCAAAATCTACCTAATCATATCATACGATTTTTTTTTCTATTGAACCAATAACTATAATAAGGGACAAGAAATTTCTGTCAAAATGAAGAAAGACGATAATCCTAACACAAGCTGTACTAGATGATATATACCTTAACACAAATAGAGAGCAGAATAGCTTTAAAAAAATTAGATAAGTCAATTAAAAGATATGAATGGTCCAAAAAAGATGCCAAAATTTGATGTATAACACATATTTCTGCAAAAGAGCGGCGAAAGATACCAAAGGGATATTCAAACTCATAAAACGAAAACAAAATGACAAGTCCATGACAAAAAGCGAAAAACGACAGTACACAAAACACATCATAGACAATTAAAGACTGAGGAGCAACACGAAAGAACCCCACCAAAAACCGAGGGTAATCTTAGGTGCTCCCGAATGGTAAGCAGATCCTGCTCCACATGTGGCACTCATCGTATTGATCATGCAAGTACAAAATCGGTGATAAGTCTAACTTGAGGGTACCCAAATTGCACCTATTTTGACCGTTTTTTTTACCTACGCTTATTTAAGAAACAAATACAAGTTTCCATTCTGTGTTGATTTTGTAGATGTATCCTTATTTACTATATAGTTCCACCAAGTTAATTTTGAATCCATACTGAATCATAAAAACATGTAATTGGATCGACAACCAAACGACCCAAGATTCTTTAATAAGGAATACCTAAATTGCAACCGTGTTTAATTTCACATGCGTAAAAATCGAATAACAGATGTTTTGTTTTACTTCTCCACATTTTAAGAACTATTTGACAATAGTCCATGCCTACTATGCATTTTGTAAGAAATGAATGTCTGCGACATATTTAAATTTTTACTTTTTATAAACGTCGCACGCGGCATTTCCGTAGATTTTACTTTTTCAGCCGATACTTATCTGTTGATATATAATGTGACCGTTTAGTGTACACATGTATTTAAATCTACTCAGCTATGTACAAAGACGTGCAAAGTAAAAAAATTATAAAACATTCAAATTGTTTAGTCTCCATGGGAACTTGTAAAGAAACATTCGAGGAAAAGAGGGCAATTGGAACATATCGGTCGTCATCTGTGAAACAGATATTCCATTATGGTCAACCAACTCGTGATGGTGTCCGTAAAATTTTCGAAGGGATTATTTCAAATTCACCTCATGGAACTCTTGGTTAAATAGTTTCTTTGTAGGCAGCAACCCTCTATCGAGAAAATCATGATAGGAAATGCAAGCTCTGGAATATCGTTTCAACTGGGAAACATATACTCCATATGCAGGCGCTGCTGGGATGTTGCTACATAGGAATGGAAAGTTCACAATTGGGAAGCTGATTTCAGAAATCATCTTCTTTTGTCGTAAAGTTTTGTTCTCAACCGACCCTCATTGTCAATTTCTAGATGTAATTCAAGATATGAGGCAGACTTAACTGTATCTGTTGTATGCTTTATTTCAAGTTCAATTGGATAAATGTGTTCAATATAGTCACCAAACTTTAAATCATTTAGTGAGAGGACGTCATCTGTTATAGCAATTTATAGAATATTGAATTGGCAAAACAACAAAACAAAATAAGACTGCATGCTGAACTGCTTTCAGCCAAAACTTTGAAAAAAGTCGACCATATCAAAACTGAATGGGGATATTCATTTTGTAGAGACCACAAAACTAAATTATTATAAATCTACTTAGGGATCGAAGTTGAGTCAAATAGCATTCATAAAACGGTCTTTTTTTTATAAAGAAATTACCAAATACATGTAATGTCAATGCTGATGCACGGATATTTTGCGTGTTTTGTCTTGTTTACAAATTGCTCTGTCGACCAAAATGTAGCATAAAAACACTTTTGCCAAGTGTACTGTGTTTGAATCATGGTTTTCTTTTAAACCTCAATGGATAATCTTATTAAATTGGAAAACCAAAGAAGAAAAAAACACCATGAAATAACAATGTATCGAGCTGGCAAAGATCACACTTAAACGTAAGAAGATGAGCCTTCTAAACGGTATGAATTTTGCTTATTGTTGAAGACCCTACGGTGACCTATAATTGCTTACATTTACGTAATGTTGGTCTCTGGTGGATAGTTGTCTAATTGACAGTTTTACCCCATCTTATTATTTCTATATATTTTTTTTTTCAAAGGATCCATGCTATATGAGGTTTAAGTTTTAACCTCAATAAGTGTAATAAGAAAACGGTACATAGAATTGTTGGGGCCTCGGTGGCCGAGTGGTCTAAGAAGTTGAACTACTGTACCACTAGCCAGTCAACACTGGGGAAGGTGCACTCGACTCCAATCTTAATTGACTAGGATTGTCAGTTTTCCTACCGAAGGTCGGTAGTTCTCTCCGGGCACTCCGGCTTCCTCCACCAATAAAAACTGACCGTCACGAAGTAGCACAATAGTGTTGAAAGTGGCGTTAAACACCAATCAATCAATCTATCAATCAATCAATAATAGAATTGTTTGATTGTTTCATTTTATTTCATTAAATTTATCATAAGCAATGTCGGTTGACACGATCTTGTACAATTACAGAAGTTGTACAGAATTTCAATAGAAAAAAAAAGATACGGAACGTTTTAGTCGTGTTCAAACTGTAAATAAGCAAATAAATATTAATCCCCAATATACAGGACTCATTTACATAGTTAAAACTGGAGGTAAAACAAAATTTAGATTCAACCTTAATATTTAACCCTTCAGAACGACCGATAAAAAAAGAGTCCAATGAATATCACATATACTCACAATAAGCATATGTGTTTTAAAACTTCTTGCATTTCATAAAAAAAAAGAAAATCTGTAGAAATAGACTCATTCAAATCTGTCATTATCATAAAGCCAAAAATATTGGCCTAATTTGGGAAAAATCAAATCGTTGTTATTCGATTTTTTTTTTATATATTATATCCAATATGGATCATATTCATGTTTTAGGAAAAACGACATATACATACTTATGTCATTATAAATTCTTTTGGAAAATGTTAATTACACTTTCTGATAAAAAGAGAGATTTAAAGATATTCAAATGTAAGAATCAAATTTTCACAAGAATTTGTTTTGCGGAGCATAAAGTTTTATTTTTTTTAAATCATTGATATCTAGAAATATCTAAAATTTGGTTACAAAATACGTTTTACAAGTCAAAATATATAGTTATGACACCAAATGTCTGAAAAGATAAAAAAAAATCTATCCCTTCACAATTTAATTTTGTGTCAATTAAGTTTTTCAAAACGGTTTTTTTTCTATAGTAATTGTGATATATTATTCTATGCATTGTCGTGGACTTTCAAGGCCATAAATGACCCTTTGTGAACCTACTTCTGCTGCTCTTTTTGTCTTTTCAACTTTCAAATGAATTTTTACCATCAAAGTATTTTGAGAGTACGACAGACTTGATCTTAAGGCTTTTCTCAAACATCATCCACGCCTTCATCTTATCAGTCTTGTCTGAATGACAAACGTATAATAATAAAAATTTCAACATGATTAAATTTATTGTACAAATTTTAAAAATTTATAAATATTCAACAAAAAATATCATGTCAACAATTAAAACTGTTTTAACAAGCAACTAGTAGATAATATCTTTCCGTAGAGAATCTGGGTTCTTTGAAGATCGCAAAACAGAGTCGTCAGGTTTGTTCGGAAAGCAAATTGGTATTCTTTGTATATAACATAGAATTCACTGTTATGTAATGTAAACATGGTGTCTGAAACATCAGCCGGGTCATATGATTCTAATGAACACGAAGTTAGGTTGACGCCATGAACTAATCCATTTGAATCCTCTTGGCCTCTTCGTGTCGAGATGAATCCGAGGGGTTGATAACTGCATTACACTAAAGAAGGTGTTGAGTAATTTCTGAAATGAAAAATCAAAGTAAAAAAATTGAGCCTTTATATTTTAAAAGGTATTTTCATTCGTAAGAGCTCTTCAATTTAAAGATCAATTAAGATATGGATCAGTTCCAATCCACGTGTAAACATATGATCTTGGATGAAAAAGATGTAAAGCGAGCCATGGAATCATCTTGAGTGTTTTAAGAACTTTAAAATTGATAATGCGCATTGATATAAGCTTCCTCAAATTTAATGTCTATTTGTATTAGCTCTTCTTTGCTGCTTTTGTATTGTTTTTTTTAACAATAAATTCGTGTCATCAATACGATGTTCAGCCGAACATTCTTATTTGTCGCTGCCCTTATAAACTGTATTTTACTATACTTTTTCGGTATTTCTAATGTTTTTTTTGTCCCTACAGTTAGTGTTAAAGTTAATGCCTATTTTTAATACATTTTAATTTACAATATTAATAAATATTACAGCAGGAAGCCATGCTATCTACTTGAAAAAGTGGCGCATGACACACGAAATCCATGATTAATTTATGTTTTAAGAAAAGGCATTTGTTTAAGACTTTTTAATTTATTTTTGAAATATCATATTATAAATCCGAGATTAATGAGATAATATAATTATTAAAGTCTTTGAAGGTATGAATAGGTATTTTTATTTTTGATAAACATTATGATATTGAACTGGAACAGGTGTTAAATCATAAGTAATCCTATAAATATTATAAACAAAAGTGTGATATTGTTAAAGACTCTAAACAGATTGATAATAAACTGATCATATTGTATTTCTTACAATCGTTTTGGAATTTAGCTTATTGACTGCTATAGCAGTTTGATAACGCTCGGAAAATATCAAATCCAAAGTTCTGTGTTGCATATTCATTTTAGCTTTTTTTAATACAAGTGACAATTTTTCCCGAATGAGCATTTCAACCAATTTCTAAAAAGCAATATTATTTTTTCTATTCATCTATTCGTTTATTTACCATTTATTTTGTCTAGCACAAAGATAAAATAATACAATTGTTTTATCAAGATTTTAAAACTGCAGAAAAAGTTGTTCTTAACACAATCAAAAAATAAATTAAGAGAACCGACAGCCGACCCCCCAAAAAATGTGACAATAGACAATTTATACTTTTAAAGTGTTATAATTTTAAAATCGTCAAATATAACAAATAACATTCTCTATTCATCAACAATATATTACATGTTTTACTCTTGAGAAAGCTCATTCACTATTCACTGTTTCGCGACTTGAATGATTACAACAAAACGTATGAATCTATGAAACATTACTCGCAGTTTTTTTTCTTAATCGTTGTTAGATTTGATGATTGACAAAATAATTCTGATGAAATTGTTTGCAATGCACAACTGAAATTGTCATCACTCTTACGAATAAACAATCAAACATCCAGCGGGAAATATTACAATCAATTTTAGTGCGAAAAATGATGGTAAGATCTACCGGGGTTAGTTAAATGGATGTCGATCTTATTTTATAAGCTTCAATACTTTGCATAAAACACAAATGTAACTGGTAGGGAAAAGTTAATATTTCATAGTAATACGTATTTTGGGGAGTGGGAACTGAAACTGAAGAAAAATGTGTGCATAATAGGACAGAAAACTGAAGTGCTATTCAGTTTATCCATTTCAAGTCCAATTCGTACAAAATCCTTAACGTATTCTTAATGCACGATATGAAAGAGGTGTTTTGGTTTTGGTTATTTGTGCCGTTAGGTTGCTGTCTCAATGCCGCACATACCCCACGTCTCCCGTTTTATCAATTTACATCACTTTCTCAACGATGCTATAAGTCATAGCAAGACCACAAATGTATTTCAAATATATATGTTAAAATTAATAAATATTGATATGAATAGATGCATTTTATAGAATTCTTGTATTTTGTATTTGTATGTGTTATATAGGGCATTTGCAATTTATAACTTGCGGTTGTTCCATTTACAGGGTCAAATAAAAAACCTGACCGACTGGAACTTAAATATTAAATGGTTCAAAATTATTGGCCTCAAAAAAGATTTTCAACATTGTACATACCATTGAACAATTTTACCATGGAGGACTAGAGCTCTGATGAAGGACAATCGGAACATAATTAATTAATTTCAGATTATATAGTTAATTCTAAAGACAACGTATAGCTTTAATAAGTCCGATACTTTCGTTTTTAATATTTTTTAGGAGGATAGGATGTCCATCAAACTCATAATTTTTGTATTTGTTGTGATAAGTATAAAGATTTAGTGATACCAAATTTAAAATATACAAAACTACAGTTTTTAATTATTTATAAGCATTGATCAACTTCACAAATTTATTAATACGAGCAATAAGTTGTCAGAACTTAAAATTACAAGCAAATGCAAAGAAACAAGGCATGTCCCTGATGTGAAATAAATTCAGGGAAAATTAGTCCTAGCAAAATTAGTATTATATTTATTCTTCACAATGTTATCCATATCTCCAGCTACTTTCCTTCATGTAATATTTATAAAGAGAAAACATATAAAAGGAAACTGTGACGACAAGGACGGGAATGTAGGTAGGCTAGCCTTAGTTTAGATTGATTTAAATTAGAGTCAAATGCCTTCAATAATAAGTAAATAACCTTGAAAAAGTAAGTAGTCGTAGAAACTCTCAAATATTTATTTTTTAAAACTTATTTTTGTTTTATTTTAAATTTTCTACAACTTTCAGACAAAAATGGTAATGCCAATTCAAATATAACAAAAAAGAGTAGAAATATATTATTGCCACATTAAAGTATTTCTGGTGAACCTAAAATAAAGTATCAATGTATATGAAGGTGTTTTTCATAAAGATTGATCAAGTACGCACACAAACATTTGAGAACATAACAAATAAACTCATCATGGATACCAGGATTGAAATTTAGTACGCCAGACGCGCGTTTCGTCTACAAAAGACTCATCAGTTACGCTCGAATAAAAAAAAGTTAAAAAGGCAAAATAAAGTACGAAGTTGAAGAGCATAAAAATTATAAGCATTGTTATGTCCTGAAAATAAATAGAAAAAAGAAAGAAAAAGGCTAAATATGTACGAGATGACACAAATATCGATCAGGTATGCTAAAAGACAAACGTTTTAGAAGCCAAAAAATAAAGCATTATAAGCATAAATCAACTTCACAAGTTTTATTTTAGAATAACGGACATGGTTTAACATGTATAATAAACCACGGGAGTAGTATCGAGTAAAAAAAAAGACTTCTAAATTTGTCCTTGACTAACACAAAATTTGATTTGATACACCATGGTTAAATTTTTTCGCAGAATTTGTTTTCTCCATGGTTAAGATCAAAAATGACTTTTAATACTAACAATTTAATTTTTTTATATAACTTGGTCAAAATGAAATGTTCAAATTTTGTTTTTTTAATACTGTGGATGTAAACATATGTTTCTTGTGTCTCATGGTTGCTAGAGAAAACAATCTTAAATAACCTTTTTATATGTAGTCGGAGAGAGTACGAGTTTGTTCCATATAATATTCTTAGTATACTGACTACTGTAGTCTTTAGCATCAAATTGGATTAATTATCAATTGTAATGGATGGAAATGGTGTAAAGCAAACTTAAACATCTTTTTGTTGGATTTTAGCTGTAAACCAACTTAGTTTCGCGTATTCTTTTTCACGCTATAAGACCTTTCCAGCTGACTTCATGACAATTTATTTTTGCGATTTGTTTATTTTGTTCATAAATTCATTTATACGAAAAGATTGACATATTCGCGACGATTTATGTTCGTTGTATGTTCTGTTGTCGAAAGTCGTGTAATAAATCATTCTCGAAAATTGGTTGGTAAATAGTATAATTTTTTCATTTTATTTTTCTAATTCAAAACTGCATGTGTAGTATACAAATGTGTAACACCGATTTCAGTGCAAACAGTGCGTGTTTCTTGAATAAATCATTAATGCCAAGAGAACATCTTTAGGCAATTGCGATTGTTTAAAACCAATAATCTCCAAATTTTCAAAATACATGGGAAACTTTCAGGAAGCACTGATTGCCTTAGCAGAAAATAAAGTTCTTTTCTGGTGAAATAATATAATTTCTCTAAAGTCCAGAAACCTCAACAAAGCTTTGTTGGTTGTGTATTCGAAAAGCGCGTCAAGTGTTCGAAAAATAGAAGCATTGTATTTTGATGATTTTTTTTTTGCTATATAACTATCTATCAAACTTACAGATGTAATTCATGCGTGAAGGGCAATATTTGTACATAACAAATTGCTAGTAATGAACTTGTTAATGTGTATTTGTATCAAAACTATTTTTAAAAAAATGGCTAATTGCTATAATTATGATAATAATAAAAAAAGAAGCTCGAGTTTTGTTTTCCAATTTTCCTCTTTTTTTTTCTCTTTTCTTTGGAAGAGAAATAACAAGTGTTTCCCTGCTGTTTTATTTACGTCTTTGACGCCTGAGAACTAGTTCTCAAAATCGGTCAGGAAAAAAATGAAGGACTGATTTTCTCCAGTATTTATAACAAAAAAGGATTATTTCAAATATTAATTTATCTTTACTAGAGTTCACAGTATATCAGCTTCACACATGTATGTGTATTTTTAGCTTTCATGACATCATGCTATATCTTTTTAAAATAGGCCATCAAAATCATAAATAGTAAAGGACTCAAAACTGCAAAATTTATAGACTTTGTCTTTCTAAGTATTTATCGCATCACTAGAACAAGGGCATTCCACCCTAAAACAAAATTTCATCGAAATTAAAGATTTGTTTTTTCTATTCTTTTTCAGATAAAATTAAATTCATTTTGTTTCGGATGTATTTTATTCAGAATTGTACAAAAATATGCAATGTATGCATCATTTCATTCCAAGAGTCAATGCTAAGTATTAAAAAATATTTATTTGAAAATTTGTTAATATGCATGAAAAAAAATCATCCAAACTCTAAAATATTCAAACTTTACCATGTTTCATTACCTTTCCTTTATTTTTATGAGCTAAACAATTTTTCCGTTATAATGTAAATATTTTTTTACCTTATTTTTCTGAGGTTTTTTTTCATATAATTTCATTCATATCATATTATCTTTTCGTCTGTCGTTTAAGGAGTTTTAAGATTTCGGTTTGCTAAATTTCTATAGTGGCAATTTTTGCATATTCAGGACGCTGAATTTTTAGACTGAAAACCCCAATATTATATTAAAAAAATAATGCACATAAGAATTTTTTTGTATTCATGCAATTATACATTGCCAAGTGTTTATTTGCTTATTTTCTTTAGCTAACTTATTTATCTGATTATGAATTTCTTTATAAGTTTATTTATCTATTCGTGCATTTATTGGTTTGTGAGTGTTTTTTATTTATTTTAATGTTCAGAATAAAATTTACTACTGTAATATCATGAGAAAACTTAACACAAACGAAAATACCTAGTTCTAATGTAACCCTCTTTGTTTCAAGGTTAATTAAAAGGAAGTGTTTACGTTTGAAATCACGATAGATATCTATAATGTAAAAATTAGAGTTTTTTTTTACATTAAAGATAAATATATTTTTTCGCATTATTCAAATATTCGCGTAGAACAGAATTTAAACTTCGGAAACAGTAAAAATAACAGTCCGCAATTGGAAATTGATAAAAATACGAGATGAAGTATTTTCATTTACAAGAGTATTGTATAGAAGAATACCAAAACAATCCGTTATTGTCAAGATTTAAAACGGATTAGGTTAGGCAATATTATTCAAATTATCTGATAATGTCACTTTTACTGTTATAGTGAAAGTTTATATTTATATGATATACCACATGTGATAACATAATTGCTATCAACTGATGAAACAAATCCCTTTTTGACACGCTGACATGAACTTACCGTGAGAGCGGGGAATTCAACTGATACACTGACTGCATAGATTGCGAATTCTGTTCTCCGTATCCCTGCCATTGGGCGGAGCCGTTGTTATACATCCCTGAATTGCAATTAGAGTTTTGGGCCGGATACGAACCGTTGGCTACTCCTGCAGTTGGGTACCATTTCATAAAGGGATTGTTCATGCTTTGCCTTAACAGAGCTTCATCAAGTCTATAAGCTCGGCGCTCAGCCTCCGTGTATGGTGAATAAATAGAACTAAAAGCAGTGTTTGGGTGATTAAATGGCATGCTTGGCGTTAGCGCGGAATATCCATTTACATGATACATCCCTAATTCACATTCCTTCTTTCTTCCTCTACGCCTTGACCTCCGTCTTTGTCGGAAGTCGCCACGCATAAAGTCTTGAATGTTTGCTGGATGTATTGCCCAATAGTTGCCTTTTCCGTCTTCACATCTTCCTGCCTTGATAAAGCAATCGTTCAGTGACAAATTGTGTCGCACGCTATTTCTCCATCCTTGTCCACGATTCACATAGTAAGGATAATTCTTCTCAATCCAACCATAAATGGATCCTAAGCTTAATCGCTTGTGTGGTGACTCTAAAATAGCCTTCGCAATTAGTGCTATATACGACATGGCAGGCTTTACGTCTGCGTTTCCACGTGCTTTTTCATCATGACCTTTATCTGGAGATTCCAAATCGAGTTTTTCCGAGTCCTTATCATCTTTAGAGCCGCTGTCACTGGTGCTTCCAGGTGAAACAATGCTGTCATTTCCACTTGACGAAGAAATGTTCTGGTTATCTGTAGAAGTTGCTTCTATTTTGATCGTGTCCGTGGTATTGAGATCAATGTCATTTTCAACAATCAGTCTGTTTGATTCTGAATCAAAACGATTAATGTCCAATGAATTTGATTCTAACAAATCTGTCTTTGACATGATTTGTTCATTGCTATTGTTGCGTTGCATTGTGAAATCTGGCATATTACCACCCGGTGAAATTTTGTAATAAGTATTATTCGAATTAGTCTGTGGAAATCCAGTATGAAATACAGTTGATTCGGCATATGATGGTGGTTCTCGGGGTATACTATAGCTTCCAGGCGATGATACGTTGTTGAAAAATGTATTATAACAAGAATCCGCTGGAACAGATTCCGGAAAATGTCCGTGATGCAACTTAATAGTCGAACCGTCGTAGGTTTGTGGTGCTCCATAAAGTCCTGGAGTTTGATACGAAGTTGTATCACAATACTGCATCTTTACGGATTAAAGCAGTAATAACTGCTATGTTGAAACAATTAAGCACAGAGTTTTACTACAAATGTTTACTGTTTATACGTAAACAATCACAATTTAGAAGACAACAAAACAAACCGTGTAAAACTGCAAATTATCTGGACACCATTATTTTGTTGTTGTAATCAACACAAACAAAGCAAACTGTCCAAAACATTTGTATGCAAACTTAATCTGAATTATGAGGTTTTGTTATATATAACGTACCTTTATATCACAAACCTGGAATATTTTGGTGACCATCAAAATTTTGATAGGGGTAATGAAAAACGTTATCCGATTGGTTGATTATATCAGATAAATTCACGCTTTTCAGTGCTTTTGATGTACCTGTTTAAATATGAAGGCGGAGTTACGTCTTTCTGTGGCCCTTTCTGAGATAAATATATTTAAAGTATTTAAATTTTGTTTAAACAGATGAAGAGGCGAATTTCAATTAATGGGTATAAAATATATACAAATAATTAAAAGATACAGTGCTTAGTGTCTTATTTGGTTAAGATTTAAACGATTCAAGTGGTCAAAATTATTAGAACTTTCACACGATATATACATACTATAAAAGAAATATAAATGTATCTAAACTGATCTTAAAGTAACTGTTTTAGGTTCAATCCATTAATTTTTTTTTCAGATACCTTTTACAAATCTTTATTAATCAAAATCTGAATCATAGTCGTGCAATAATATTTTTAGCAATTTTTTAGCTTTAAATCTGTGTTGACATATTCAATATTTTTTTTATTATTATTTTCTTTAGTTTTTTTAATTGTCATAGGCTTGCCAGTTTTGCTCATGCAATTTAAATCAGAGCAGATCGTACTTGAAACTTCAAAAATCATTTGCAAATATAAAGGACCTGCATTTTGTATACAATTTTAAGAAGAACGTCTGGGAATGAAACAAAATTCGAAGAACTAGATATTGTTTTCCATTATTTGGGGTTTTTTTTTATTATCTAAAGAATATTATCACATTAAACCAGAATAGGGATTCTGTCGAAAATATCATATACACTTTGATTTTGCCTTATGATAACGCTATATGTTTAATTTTAAAATGAAAGTAAAATTTAAAGTAAAACTATACCATACAGTAATATAATTCGTAAAATTCTTTTATAAAATAATCCTTTCATAATATGTTATTTTAGAAATTTTTAAAGGAATATAAAAGGCAATGTTGAAACCAGGCAGATGGAATAATCTTAAATTTTGATTCCATTTTTGTCTTCCTTTCATATATGTTCATGATCAATTGAATATATCGAATTTTTGTACGAGTTGTACTTTATATTTATAACAAAAATACCTAATTTTAATTGTAAATTTTTTTGGTAATTTCCTTCTTGAAAAAAAACACAAATTTTGTTCGTTGTTGTTTGTCTTTGTATATGTATGTCTATTTTGTTGGAGGAGCCGAGTGTCGGTGGTTAATGCGGGTTATTATGCTGTCAAATATTTTTGAAAATTTCTGTTGTCCTTTTTAAGTATTATTTTATAGGTTTTATTAAGGATTTGTAAGATCTAACTATACAAATCCTTGGTTCTATATATGTTGTTTTTCTTCTTCATAACAGAATCATTCCGCAAATTGAGTAATCAAAAGTTACAATGAAAATAAATGCAGAATGCTTAATTTATTTATTATTTTTCTAAGTGGCTTTAAAAATCTTTTGATTCAAAATTGATCGTAAGGTACTCTGGAATGTTCATGACTAACGAGTACTTTTGCTCGTGATATTTTTTGTGAAAAGAGCCACTAGTTAGTCTTTACCAAGGCGGTTGATGGTAGTGTTCATGGTGCTCAATCTTTTGTTTTCTTTCTATTGTTTTGTCTGTTTGTCTGTATTCTTTTGGTCATGGCCACGATGGTGATGTTTATGTTTTTTCGACTTATTGGTTTGTATGGCCTCCTTGGTATTCATCCTCTTTTTTTTTGCATTCATGAATGAATGACATTTTGGAAACTTTAAAAATGAAAGAAAAATTCCTTAGGTTGCTTGAACTTTTAAATCAACGATTATTAAAATAACAAGATAATAAAAAATGTTTATAATAAATAATTCAAGTGGCATAGCAAATTATGAAAAAGGAAGCCCGCAATTGATCCATCGAAAAAATGACACGAAAGAAACTTGAATAACTATTCCATTAAAATAAAATTCATGAAAAGTATAACTCCTGTAGATAATTTATATATCTTGCAATGCATATTTGTAAATATATTCATAAAATTGTTGTCGAATCCTGTAAATATTACATTGGATTTCTGCAGAATTTACAATAATGCCGTTCATTCATTCACAGTGAAAAGGAATGCCTTTTTAAAGATTAGTCGACATATTATGTTCAATCACAGACCAGAACAATCACCAAACTCAGAGCCGGAGGATCTGGAAAGGAACTTAATGTTCAATAACAGAATTAAATAGCTGTTCTCTTTCGAGATGCATTCATCGGTGAGTATTGTTGGGTGTTTACTAGAATACAATGCATTTTGGGATGTATAAGTACTTAAACACAAGATGAACGTATTGCATTAAGGTATGTGTGTGCATACATAGCCAAATATGATTATTAGTATTTCTATAATTACAGTAATGAATTTTGAACTTCAAGAGTCTCAACATTGAAAATTCAAATTTACATTATGAATATGAGTACTGTAACATCTTACAAGGGAATAAAAAGAACTTTCAGATTGTATTATTTCATTTTCAAAAAACTAAATGACGAAGGCCATTAAAATTGTTGAAATGTAATATTTGTCTGCAGTATCGTTGCATTAATTACATGTATTAGACTTGTATGAGTTTTTTTTTTCTGTTTGTGTTATATCGTCATTTTCAGGCGGTCCGAAATCTACTGGTTCGTTGTTTTTAAGAGTATATATTTCCCGCTGCTTTTGGTGAACATTGCTTGAAAGGGATGAATGATATTTAAACTGAATCTAATCAAAATCAACGAAAATATATATTTAATATTCTCACTCATGATTTATTTCTTCTTTTTAGTTTAATAAATCCTTTCTACAACATTTTTGTCTTTAAAAAGCAGCAGGTCCTTGTAGAAGATTTTTGCTTTGAAATTGCATTAAATCTTATAGTATTTAGTCCATCTGATTTGCTATGATTTCTCCTTATGATCGGGGTTTATTACGTTAATGTGAAGTGATAAGGTAGCTTGGGACTAACTTTACCATTCTCAACATTTGGGAGGCTTGTTTGAGTTCCTGTGTTTCCTCCTTTTGTGCATGAGGGCATGTTGTGTTGCGTACTGTTGTCTTAAGTCTATAGTGTTTATCATTTCCTAAGAAACAAAATTTGTACCACTTAAGTTAAATATTGTATATAGTAAAATATTGATCATGTTTTCATTACATAAAATAAAGATTGTCTGATTAAATGAATTTTGCAACGACGACGGGGGGGGGGGGGGGGGGGGGGGAGTTTTAACGACCTTGACTACCCATGAGGGTCTTGCACGATCGGCCCTGGCTTACGCCTTTTTGGGCATTTGAATAATTTTTTTTTAACTTATGGTAATTGATATAATTTTAAGTGACAAAAACATAACATGAATAAAAAGTAAAATGAGCAATAATTTGATAAAAAAAGTAAATAAATAAATAAATTGATGAACATTAATAATAGATAAAAATAAATAGAAATTAAATAAATAAAAAAATGATTTTTTTTTTGTAAAGAACAAAAAAATAATAAAATAAAAATAGGAGCCACCAAAAGCCGGAACAGGAGAAAAGGCCAAGCAAACGACAATGAGCGACAGCAACGTTGTCCTGGTACACCAGCAGCCAAGCAAAGAGCGGAGAAATTTGATATGCCAAATTGTGTATGTGAATTTAGTTGCCAAATATTTGGTATAAACCCAAATAGGCTTAAATATGTGTTTGTAAGTTTAAGATAAATAATTAGAGAAAGTTTTATAAAATGCGTATTGTTATGCGTTTACTTTTCTACATTGGCTAGAGGTATAGGGGGAGGGTTGAGATCTCATAAACATGTTTAACCCCGCCGCATTTTTGCGCCTGTCCCAAGTCAGGAGCCTCTAGCCTTTGTTAGTCTTGTATTATTTTTAATTTTAGTTTCTTGTGTACAATTTGGAGTTTAGTATGGCGTTCATTATCACTGAACTAGTATATATATTTGTTTAGGGGCCAGCTGAAGGACGCCTCCGGGTGCGGGAATTTCTCGCTGCATTGAAGACCTGTTGGTGGCCTTCTGCTGTTGTCTGTTCTGTGGTCGGGTTGTTGTCTCTTTGACACATTCCCCATTTCCATTCTCAATTTTATAAAAAAAGAATGAGTAAATGAAATGAAATAGAAAAAAAACGAATGGTGTATGTATAATTTTGACTGCTTTATGCTAGCCTACTGTTATTGCAGGACTTTAAAGTGCTAGTACACCGGAACGCTGTTCGCAGGAAGACAAGCGCCCCACTATTTTTTTTTTTTGCAACGATATTTCGACACTATGTTTCTACTATACACTGAACACAATACATATGTCCGACAATTTTGTCTACCTATATTTCATACTTGAGAGACTTTGTTCCGTTTTGCATTACTAGAAGATGCCCGCGAAATCGTGGTACAATTAGGCAAGTGTTGAAACAAAGAGTGTCAAGGGTGCCTGTGTTTACACATAAAAAGAGGGGAGGGGTCCGGACGTCGGGTGCCTGTGTTTACACAAAAAGGGGGGAAGATCACTTCGACACGTTCAACGCCCATTTCATTTTTGGACAGTTCTGCACCTGAGTAAAAAGGGTGTATGTCGTTCAATTTAGCAAAATGATGCACTTACAATACAATACAGGATCCTAATAGGCCTAACTGTCCTATTTTCTATCCTTTCTTCTTACTTTCATTTGGCAGTACGTCAACTGAGCATGCGAAACGATAAAAGTCTCCGAATTTGGATATTTTCTCAAAAATTAGCGTTTTCTGTGGAAAAAAGATTGTTTCAAAGACAAATTTAGGAAGTACAAAACACTACATTTATACGTCATATCACAAATATTTCCGACTTTGTATGGTTTCAGAGTAGTTGCGGCTCAATGAAAT